ATAAAGTTACGCCAGGAGTGTCTCATATAAAGTGTCAAAAGTGTCTGATTTAATTGTTAGTGTAAGGATTTAAGATGCTGTTTTTCCCTGGTGCTAACACCTCTCATTGATTCTGGAGCACTTCCATTAGTTGTTTAACAGAAACAGCCTCGGTATTTATAGCCCTATCACTCTAGAAGGGAAGCATTTGCAATTTGCACTTTCAGTTTTGATTCTTAGACTTCTTTTTCTTTAAACACCCTTCAAATGGGCATCAGACTGCAATTCAATGAATGCTTTGCAAGCAGTTGCACATAGCAATTCCCAGCCCCATAGACAAACATTTCAGGAAGACCCCATAATCCTATGCTAATTGAAATAGAAATTGATGAATCCTTGTTTGCCTGAGCCCCACTACAAGTCAAGGCTTGTGGGTAATTTGTGTGTTCATGGGTACCTGCCTTCATCCTGAGGCTGGAGTTGCACCCTATGGCAAATTGCCTGGTATAGGGGTAGATACATAGATGTGTGTTTATATCCCATTCCACGTGCTTTTCTCATGATGGAATCTTAGTGTTCCTCAACCGAGATTTGGGCTCCTAGTTCTTTCCTCTAGAACCTGAAGGGACCTTTGTTAACTGATCAATGAAATGTGGCAGAAGTGGTGTTGAATGACTTTCGAAGCTGTTATAAAAGGTAATGCTTGTCCTGCCTTTCTCTCTCTCTCCCTCTGCTACTCTTAGCATTTGCCACCACATTAGAACAATGCTGCCTAGACCCTATGGAGAAGCACAGGGGAATGTTCTTACCAACAGTCCCAGCTAAACAGTAGCTCGTATCTGATCTCCAGCCTTGGGAGGGACCTTGAGCCAGGACCATCCAGCCATGCCACAGACTAATCCGTTGAAACTTTGAGAGATAATGGTTGCAGTTGTTTTAAGTCACTGTATTTTGTGGAAATTTGTTATGATAAAATAACTAAACCCATTTCTTATTTTCTTGATTTAGAGATCAATCAGTTCATATATACATTTTTCCTATTTAAGCATTATGAATACACAACCAGTAATTCTCAACTGATTTTTTGTCACTAAGGGACTTGTTAAAAGTAATAGTTAACAATTACTGAGGACTTGCTATACCAGGCATTGTTCTAAGTGCTTTACATATACTAACATATATATCCTCTAAAGACATCTGTAAGATGAGCCCTATTAACCCTTGAGCTACACTACAATGGAGAATTTACAAAACACCCAATATACCCAATACTCCCCAGGTTTTGAGACAGGAGAGACAGGTGAAAGCAGATGAAGTATAGGGAAGCCTGGCCATAAGTTGAACAAGTGAGCACTAACAAATCAATCATTCATTCATTCATTCAACACATATTTGCTGAGCACCTCCATGTGCCAAGCCTTACTCCAGGGGATGGGGACGCAGCAAAACAAAATGAAGAAAAAAATTCCCCTCTGTCCTGTGGAGCTAACCTGCTAGTGTACTAGACAGAGCAGGTCTCTTCAACTTTCACAGAATGACCACCAAGCGCGCCATACTACTCCCTCTTGTTCTGCTGAGTCATCACAGGTATTGAGAAAGAACCATTTATGGAACATAGATAAGCAGCATGTTGACTACTTTTATTTAACTCTAAGTAAAAGAGTACAGCTAATGAGCACAATGCCAGGAAAGAAAGGAGATTGCAATATGAAATCAAACCCAATTCAATTATTTTTTTTTAAAAAAAAAGGAAAGAAAATAAATTTTGGTAATCATTTCTTATGAGAATGAGGAAGGTAACTTTGGAGTGTAGGACACTTCTGAGCAGTGGAAGTGATCTGAATAGAGACTTCATTCATCAGAGGGAAGCTTCTGGTGATACTGGAAACCATAGGTTGTAAGTCAGAAGGTGCTATGGTTTGAATTTGGTTTTCCCTTCCAAAATTCACGTTGAAATTTGATTGCCATTGTGGTGCTGAAGAGATGATTAAGTGGGTTAGGAAGGTTAATGCCTACTTCAGCCTTTGTAAAGATAGGCTGCTCCTCAGGTTTTTCTCTTTGTGTATATGTACTTGCTTGCCCTTCTTCTTTTTGCCATGAAATGAAGCAGCAGGAGGCCCTCACCAGATGCCACTGCCTTCTTTTTGGACATCCCAGCCTTCAGAACCATTAGTCAAAATGAACATCTTTCCTTTATAAATTACCCAGTCTATAGTATTTTGCCATGGCAACAGAAAATGGACTAAGATGTGAAGGTAAAGGATGGGGGAAAAATTCAATGGAGCATTTTGCTTCCTTGAAAGTTACGCTTAGAGTCAGCCTTGATAGAGGTAGTAAGTGCTATAAAATTCATAACCATTTTGTCACATCAGGTGTATACAAAATAGCCAGCTTATATGACAATTGCCTCCAATTTTTCTTCTACTGGGATCTGAGAATTTACAAGAGGAAGAGTGAAGCTACTGAGCGTAACTTCTCCCTATGAAGGGTCAATTGATTGCTCATCTTAGGCAACGGGCAGATTTTTTCAGACCCTAAGGAAGTTGTAATTACAGACCAACTGCTGCAGACAGAGATGTTGTCTAAAGCCATTTGTTAGTCTACAAGCTGGATAGCACACCTGGCCAAGCAATTCTTGGTGCTTCATGACTCAGAAGCCCAAGGCAACAGGCTGGTTGTGAGGAACAGTCAAGGAACACTTCCAATGCTTGAATTATTTCCCCAACTAGCCTGGCAATGCAAATACATGGCCTAGAGCTGCCTAGCCAGAAAGCAATGTTGGGCCAGGCTAGTTGTGTTTGCTGTCTTATAAAAAACAATTACCTTCCCTTTGTACAATAACCTGGCTAAAACTCTTACTTTCTGCATTTTCTCAGACCTCTTGAAATGGAAAAGACAAAAGCCTCCTGTAAATACAAATGCCCAAACTAAAACTAGTAAGATGGCTTAGCCTTGTATGCACATATGAATAATAAAAGAAAAAGGAAAAAAAAAAGAAAAATCATATACAAATTTTTCTATGTTTTAAATATATACACAAAATAAAAACTGTCAAAGAGTTTAGAATCTAAAGTTTTGAAGTATTTTTAATGTCATTTGTAGAGTAAGTTTCAAATTTGAAAACAACCACCACCAAAAAATAATATTCCATCTTTCTTTTAGTGTTTATTTTAGGCTTCTTTTGCCCCAAATTATATAGGAAGCAGGGCAAAGTAAAGAAACAATGATCCATCCAATCTTGGGGAGACAACCAAACCTTCACAGTCAAGCTATTGACCTGGGAAGCCCACACATAAGCAAGAGAAATTGTTTTCCTCCCCTCTTCAATAAAAGAATGCTAAGTTATTCTTTGAATGGAAGCAAAATCTTGAACTACATAATGAGCTATAACCCCAAAGAAAAAAATGAAGATGCTTCTTGGAAGGTACAGTTATATGACTAGGTAAACTGGTTCTTACGGACATTTGTGATGTAAAAGTTAAAAATTTGTATACCAAAATACACATAACTTCATAAGATGAAGGAAAAATTTTTTTCATGTGTGTTTTTTTGATTTACAGTTTGTTTAAATCAACCTAATAAAAAATGACATAAACTCAATAGAAAAATGGGGAAAAAATATGAAAAGACAGTTTCTAGAAAGCAATGCAGTGAGTTGTTATCCAAATGTTTTTTTTCCTTCATTACTGAAAAAACAAATCAAACCTTAATAAGATATGTTTCACTGCTTAGAAAGACAAAAAATTTAAAGCTTGAGGTTATCTTGCCTTAAAGAGTAGAGAAATGTGAACCCTCACATACTGTAGGAAGATAATAATGTAGTAAAATTTTACTATAGGAAAATTTGCCAATATTCATCAAAATATAGAACAAGTATGCTTTTTTTTTTTGGCAGTACTAGGGTTTGAACTCAGGGCCTTGGGCTTGCTAGGCAGGACTCTACCACTTGAGCCATGCCCCCAACTGCTTAAACATGCTTTCTGAACTAATAAGCTTACTGTAGGTATACACACCCAAATAAAATTTACTGCTAAGTACTTCCTTGGATATATATGAAACAAGTTTCTATGAATGTATGTGTGTGTGTGTGTGTGTGATCTGCTTGTATCTTCACATATGGAATTGTTTTAAGATTAAAGTAGATACAACTAGAGTTTATCTACAGAGATTAAACACATTTCAGGACATAAAAAAACCTTGAAAGTATTTTTAAATGAATTATGTCTATGTGAAGCTATATGGAAATATGACATGATATAAGTGAAGACATGATATGTACTGGCATACCCAATACGATTCTTTTGTTATAAAATATAGAGACCCATGTACACAGGAAAGAGGGATGTAGAACTATTAAATGTCATCGCTACTGTATGAGAAACTATCAATGAAAAAGCTACAGAGGAAATAGGTTTCTTTACTTTTTTCAATTTGTGTTTTTTGTACCTTTTTACATTTTCTAGCCTAATACGTTACTCATTACACTTTCAAAACGCTAACAAGGTTATATGGGCAGGGAACTCATAGTCCAGTTCTTGATTCTTTGTACTTCACTCCATTAAAAATCATAGTAATAATTATATTAAAATATGTATATATTCCTCACTCTTTTTTCTTGCATTTTGGGAATCAAAGTTAAATTTCTCTACTAGTTATATAATTAAAGCCTGACAAATTAAGAAAAAGTTATTTTTTAAGAGCGGATGTATATAAAGACTGCTGGGTTTTTTTTGTTTTGTTTTTTTGTGGTACTGGGGCTTGAACTCAGGACCTACCCCTCTGTCACTCCACCAGCCCTTTCTTTGTGATGGGTGTTTTTCAGATAGGGTCTCATGAACTATTTGCCCAGGCTGGCTTCCAACTGCGATCCTCCTGATCTCTGCCTCCTGAGTTCCTAGGATTGTAGGTGTGAGCCAGCCCTGATGTTTACTCTGAGTAAATACCTCTGTCTTCAACTCACATTGTGATGGTATTTTATTTCATAAAAAATTGAACTAAACAAGAAAATATCTCATCTGATATTAATATTAACTATAACATTCATGGTAGCCATAAAGAGTTTTGGGCATCAGAATCATAAAAGCAAATCTCCAAATGGATGCAGATCTTTCCTCAAAGGCCATGCTGGACATGATGTGAGTGTGGCGTGCTGGCATGGACAAGGATGGAGGAGACCGAGTTGATTGGTGTAAACAGTAAGTCCTCCAGGGCTCTTCTCAGTATTGGTCTCATTTTGGCTGGCTCTAACCATCCAATAATGACTACCAGGGTTGAGCACCACTTTCAAGGGTATCAAACAAGCACCAAACTCAGTCTGTGAAAAAAACAAAGAGCTGTCAGGCAAAGGTGCTAAATCAGGCATTTTCAAGACAGACGAAACATAAGAAGGACATAGAAAACCAGAAGCAAAATAAATTTGACAAGTTAAATACAATGGACAAATTCCTTTAAAGACAAAAATAACCAGCACAAAATGGAAGAGAAATTATAAATAACCTTATATCTAGTAAATGAAATGAATGACTAATTAAAACCCAAAGATAATTACCATATACCTATTAGAAGTGCTAATTTCTAAAATCTGACAATAGCAAAAATAGTTTACATGGTAATATGCTAGAACTGGAGACATCAGTGTGAACTTATGTTTAGATTAATGCAGATATAGATGCTTATAGAAATACTGGCAGGTCATGCACTGCTGTGGAAAAGGATGCAATGTCTGAATGAAAAAGAATTATTATCTTTACACCCAGCAAATAAAAATTATATGAATAATTGAAATAGGTCATAGATCAGAAATAAAACTGTTAAGTTTAAAGCTTGTTGAAAAAAAAAAAAAGAGCAAAAATCTTGGTGTCCCTGAAATAGGTAAAGAGTTTTAGACAAAACACAATATGTTAATTTTCATTTCCATGACAAATATCAGAGAGAAACAATTTAAGGGAGGAAAGATTTTTTTGTTTTGTTTTCTGTTTTGCTCACATTCAGTCCATCACAGTGGAGATGATGTGGTAGATCAAACAAAGTAGCTCGCCTTATGTGGCCAGGAAATGAGGAGAAACAATGACTGCTCTAACAGGTTTTTCCTTTGTACCTTTTCATTCTAAGCAGGCTTCCAGCCTATGAGTTGTGCCACCCACATTCAGGGAAGATCTTGCCCACTTAGTTAATCTTCTGTGAAAATACCCTCACAGAGACACCCAGAGGCATGCCTTACTGATCTGCTTGGCACTTCCCAATCCCATCATATTGATAAGATTAATCATCATACACAGAATGCAAAATTTAAAGTTTAAGATTGATCAGTGTTATTTTTATCAAGTTAAAACTTTTGCTCTTTGAAAAACTTCATTAGGAAAGTGAAAAGGCTAATACAAAATGGGAGAAATATCTGTAATATGTACATCCAATGCAGTACTTCACTAAAAATACACAAAGACATAACGCATCTCAGTAATAAGACAAACAACCAAAAATTCTGACTAGAAACCAGAAAAGAACGTATGACAGCAGATAAGTATATGAATGTATTCAATATCATAAGCCATCAGAAAAAAAACTATGATACCACTACATACCCATTGAAATATCTAAAATTTATTGTAATATATTACCTAACCTCAAACCAAGACATTCAACTCTTAGATGTTTGCCCAACAAAAATGAAAACATGCCACCACACCAAAACTTGTATGCAAATGTTCCTGGCAACATTTGTCATGCTTATGATAGTTATAAATTGGAACAGTACCTAAATGTCCGTCAAACATGTGAACAAATAAACTGCATTATGCCCATACAAAGAAATCCTAACCAGAAATAAAAATGCAAACTACTATACATGCATGAACATGGAACAATGAAATCTGCCAAAGCCATTTTAAAAAGGGGAGGGCAAAAAGGGAGAATACTAGAAAGGATGAACCAAACTGGGGTACACTGTACACATATATGGAAATGTCACAACAAAACACCCTGTACAACTAATATATACTAATAAAAATGTTTAAAAAAAAAGATGAATCTCAAAATTATGTTGATTGAAAGAAACAAAAGAGCACATTATGTATTCTTTCATTTGTATAAAATTTAGAAAATGTAAATGAATTTAATGACAGAAAATAGACCAGAGGTAGCCTAGTACTAAAGGCAGTGTGTGAGATGGATTTTATAGGGGCTGGAAGAATATTTTTGGAGAGGTTGTGATAAAAATGTTTTTATCTCAGTTTTGGTGATGGTTTCCTGGGTGTATACAGCTTTCACAACTCAGGTAATAGGACTTAGTATAGCTCAGTGGTAGAATTTTTGTCTATCATACACAAGGCCCTGGGTTTTATCCCTAACACTACAAAAACAAACAAACAACTCTCAAGTAGTTATAATTATTAAGTTTTTTTAGTTTATTGTACTAAATTATACTGCAATAAAATCACTATTGCTGTCTAAAGAGTCATTCCCTGCTACTTTTTAAGTAGAAGTCACAAAAAATTGAGAGAAATGTGTGCTAGAGTCAGAGTGAGGGATGAGAGTCAAAATTGAGAGCTAGCTAATAAATATCAGGAAAATGAAAAGGAGAGAAGGAAATCTTGGATCCTAAATAGGAGACATGGCACTTTACCAGGCCTCACCTGATGACTTCAAAGGTTCTGGCATCCCTGATAGGAGGTGCAATCTTAGGAGTTACATCCTCTGATCCATGCCTCCTCACCTCTTGCCATTCTTCCTGTCCCAGTAACACTGTTGAGACTGAGATTAACACTCACCTTTGACTCTGCCAGCTAAATAGTGAGAAATCATCTGCTAAGTTAATGTCTCGCATAGTGATGTTTGAAAATGAGTTCATGACCTTTTCCTCATCATCTGCACTATATTGGTGACATGTGGGTTGCAGCAGGGTAGTCTGGATACATTTAATGGAACTCACCATGAGAACTCTTCTCATTGTGTCAAGTAGAGGTAGGTTTGGTTAGGGGAGTCTTGGGCTCCCTTGGGTAACCATGAAATGCTTCTTCTAACAGTAAGGACAGACCTACCAAATCACAGGTGAATGCAGATCAGGTCTGTTAAGTTAAGGAAGATCTTGAGTAGAGAAGATGAGCTTTCATCTTTAAATACTTTTGTTTTTCAGCATGGGATTGGCATAAAAACAGAGATGAAAACATAGAAAACTCAGAAATAAAACCACACAACTACAGCCATCTAATCTTTGATGAAGGAGCCAAAGACATACATGGAAGAAAAACAGGTTCTTCAACAAATGGTGTTGGAAAAACTGGAAAACTGGTTATCTACATGCAAAACACTGAAACTAACCCCGTATCTCACACCCCATAGAAAAATCAACTCTAAATGGATCAGAGAGCTTCATGTAAGGTCTGAAACATTGAAATTACCACAGGAAAACATAGGGAAAACTAGAAGATATAAGCCTAGGTGATAATTTTCTGATGAGGACTCTAATTGCACAGGAAATAAGTACCAGAACTGAAAAACAGGACTGCATCAAATTAAAAAGTTTCTGCACATCATAAGAAAAAGTTACCAGAGTCAAGACACAACCTACAGGATGGAAGAAATTCTTTGCCATCTATTCACCAGATAAGGGATTATTATCCAGAATAAACAAAGAGATCAAATAAATGGACAAATGAATTGAACAGACAGTTCTCAGATGAAGAAAAACAAACAGCTAAGAAATACATGAACAAATGTTCAACAACTTTAGCCATAAAGGAAATGCAAATCAAAAGCTACATTAAGGAGCTGAGCACCAGAGGCTCACACCTGTAATCCTAGCTATTCAAAAGGCAGAGATCAGGATAGCGGTTCAAAGCCAGCTCAGGCAAATAGTTTCCAAGACCCGATCTTGAAAAATCCTTCACAAAAATAGGGTTGGTGGAGTGGCTTAAGGTGAAGGCCCTGAGTTAAAAAACAACAACAACAACAACAACAACAACAAAACTATGTTAAGAGTCCATCTTAGTCCAGGCAGATTTGGCAATTATCAAGGAAACAAACAATGAATGCAGGTCAAGGATGCAGGGAAAAAGGAATCCTTATACACCATTGGTGGGAATAGAACTTAGTACAATCACTATGGAACTCAGTATAGAGGTCCCTCAAAAAACTCAAAGTAGACTCACCTTGATGACCTACGATACCACCCTTGGGCATATAGCCAAAAGAGTGTAAGTCCATATACAAGAGAGAAACCTACATACACATGTTTATTCCATTTTCTTCACAACAGCCAAACTGTGGAATCAGCTGAGGTGGATAAAGAAAAGATAGATAGATGGGTAAATAGAGAGATAGATAGATAAACAGATGATAGAGCATTGCTCAGAAAAATGAAATAATATTTACAGGAAAATGAATAGAACTGGAGATCATCATGCTTAGTGAGATAAGCCAAGCTCAAGAGGTCAAATATCACATGTTCTCACTCATTTGTGGAACTGACACCTAAAATGATGATGATGATGATGATACTAATGGGACATGAATATATAGTCATGTGGGAGGGGTGAGGGAAAGGGTCCTGAGGATGAAGAAGATGGAAGTACACTACACATATACATACGAAGACAATATAATGAAACCCACCAAACACAGCTTGAAAAAAAGGTTGAAGGGAGAGGGGAATGGAAATATAATGGAGTGGATGAGCATATTCAAGGTCCGCTGTGCACATATATGGAATCATCATATTGAAATCCCCTCATAATATTAATGTATGTGAATTCAAAATAAAATTTTAAAAAGCTTTGCTTTTTATTGTACTATCATTTGGAATTTGACTCACACAAAATCAAAGTGCCTTGAGGACAAATGACTTCTTCTTGGACAACTTCTGACTCCTCCCACTATTGTCCATCATGTGATTCAAAAGAGTAATCAGGTACAAAATAGAGGACTCAGGTGTGCCCTAGGTGACCTTCATACAACACTGACTTATTTCTTTCAACAACTTGCCTGTCTATAAAGGCATTTTTAAAAGCAGGTTATGTTTAGTGTGTAGCTCTTTAACTTTTCCTGCCCTGTGGCAAATGTTACTATCTTAAGCAATCAAAAATTACACATGTAGTAACTGTTTCACAAAATAATCATCTTTCTCTTCCCCTCCTCTTTCTTCCCTTGGTGCAGGCTGTAGTGATTTGAACTTTGTGCCCAAAAAAGCTATTCTGAATTCTTTACCTCCATTACCTGTGACTGTGATCTTCTTTGGAAATAGTGCCCTTACTGATTTACTAATTAAGAATTTCAAGATGAAGTCATCCTGGGTTTAAAAGGAGCCCTCAATGCATTAACTGGTGTCTGTAAAAGAGTTAAGGATGCATAAAGCCACAGAGAAGAAGGCCACATGAACACAGGCAGAAAGCAGAGTGAGGCAGCTACACTGGGAGTGGGAATACCAGTGATTTCTGGGAGTCACCAATTGCTAGTAAAAGGCAAAGAAAGGTTCTCCCCAGAGCCTTTAGAGAGAGCATTGTCCTGCTGTCTCCTTGATTTGCAACTTCAGGCCTCCAGAACTGTTAGAGAATACATTCCTCCTATTTTAAACCACCCAGATATTTTGTTGTAGCAGCCCTAGGAAAGTAAACACACAGACCAAGCCTGTAAACTCTCCTGAATCGCCAAAAATATTTAATAAAAACCATATCCCAAAGCTTTGTCAGAGAAACAAGACACTGAAATCAGAATCGAGAATTGGTCATAAGTGTAGCTTAAGGTAAGAGTGAAAGGCTGAATGCTATCATGTAGAGGAAAAAAAAGCTGGCAAAATCGCCAATTGAGGCAACAATTTTGGAAAACAGTCTAGCTGTTATCCTGTAAAGCTGAAGATGTGCACATCCTTTGACAGAATATGGCCACAGCAAAGGAGAGAAATTTGCACGTGTTGACAAGTGCAGAGACCTTTTCAAAATATCATTGTTCCCGATACTCACAAACTGGAAATAATCCAAATGCCCTTCAATGGGATAATGAATATGAAATGTCTGTACACTTACAAATGGACCATTACTCTTCAGTGAATATTCATAAAATGCAGCTACATGCAACAAACTGAATGACTTTTCCAAACATAATGTTGAACCCAAGGCAAGAATATATACATAATGTGATTCTATTTGCACAAAATCCTGAAAACAGTCCTCAGAAGTCAATGATATTATTTTTGTAGATCAATACTTACATAATAAAATTATAAAGCAGAGCAAGAAGTGTGATTACTATAAAAATCAAGACAGTGACTTACTCTAAGAGGGAAGTGCATGGTTTTGATTGGGAAACACTGGGATGTCGGACTTACATTGCATTGGTAGCATTCTTTTTATTAAGCTGGGTAGTGCTTTCGTGGACGTTTATATATTTTTTTCTATACCTTCATTATATCCTCTCTCTTATTATGAAATATTTTCAATGTTTTAAGAAATAAGTATTTAAAGAAAAGGTGAAAGATTAAAAACAAGGGAAAAAATTAATAGAAGCTTTAGAAGTAGAAAATATTCTAATCCACCTTGAAGAAATGTGCTGTTTTCTTATGGTTCTTTCACATCATCTTTCCTGCTCTGGTTTCCACCTTGTCAGCTGAATTCTTACTCAAGGCATTTTCTACTGAAATCCATGATTCTGGAAAAGAAGATGAAAAAGCTCAACAAATCGTAGTGGCTGCTGGGGGTGAGGGCTATGTGTGGAATTTCGGTTAGCCATCTGAGTTCCCCAGGCTGTTATGTGGTGACTGAGATTCACTGGGGATTGGTGTAGGTGTAGGAATTGACCAGTTAACAGGCAGCACTCTGTCATTGTCAGAGGGCTTTTTACATGGTCTCACCCAAGCCCCATGAGAAAACCTTTCTACTGCTATTTTACCTGATTGTAGGCTGCAGAAAAGTTAGGGGACTGGCCCAAAGTTACAGATCAGGGAAAGGTCAGGACCACCATTGGAAAGCAGGGTTTCTCCCCTGGATTCAGTGACCTGTTCTGGAGTTCTGCAATAACCTCACTGATGTCAACTTAGATATGACAAGAGACTCTAGTTCTGAACTCATTTGATACAAATGTACCAAACACAGGCTGTCATGACATGGGCCGGAAGCCAGCAGGCTCCGAGAAACCATACAGAACACAGACGTGGCTTAAGCTAATCACAGCACATCTGAGGTCGCTTTTCCTTTGTAAGGTTTGTACCTGTGGCATAATCAAAGACAAAGTCAATACCACTTGCTATGGTTTATACTACTTAGCAAAGTCATCTGTTTATCTTCCATGTGGTTGACACCTTATCCCCCCTCCAAATAGTCATCCACTCCTAGACAGACTTCAGCTCCTTACGAACTTGAAGCAATGAATCCCTTAGTAAATCACTTCAGATAAACAGATATAATCAGATCTGTTTGGTTTTTGTGCTGGAGAAAGTGTTCGAACCCTAACTGTTTCACATCACTGCTCACTATGCCAATAAATCAGCCATTTATGATAATGCTTCTGCCAAGAAATCCCCCAGGCCCTGGTGTGGTTTCAGCAGAGGATATATGAAAAGACTGAACAAATATCATTGGGTTATCCTCATTTCTGTCCTCAAAGCTTTTGCAAACTTAGCAGGCTATATTTTATGATCTCCTTAACAAATTGTGGAAATCTGTTGAATTCATTCCCAGTACTGGTAGAGTTAAAAGATAAAAGTTTGCATCACTTAAGTGCTTTGATAAAGTAACTTTGAAGTTAAATATGGGCTAAAATTAAACCAAAATGAAGGTCTCAGTTAACCGAGGGATATATTGATATATTTCTCTTGCTTTTCTTGTTGATTTTTCATACACAGCTGCACCTGAGACACAGGCCAATGAACTATCAATTTTCCCCCAGTGGATGCTTGAAATCATCAATGATAAAACATCCTCTGTACACTGTAGTTTTTCCTATACATACATACCTATGATAAAGTTTCATTTGTAAACTAGGCACAGCAAAGCATCAAGAGTAACTAATAATACAAGAATAATTATAAAATACACTCTAATAAAAGTTGCATAAATATGGTCTCTTTCTTGAAAGAATCAAGACAAATACTAACATTTTTGGATCATTGTTGAGTGTAGGTAAATGAAATCACAGAAAGAAAACTTTGAGTAAAGGGAATTAGTAAAACTTCACTACAGCTATATTATGCTAACCCTGGGCCAATTCATTCCCTATTCAAAGACAGGTCCAGCCACCTGGATATTTCAAAACAGGATTCAGATCACCATCTTCTTCCCCCCATCCACTGTCCCTGACAGTTACCTTGATAACACAATTGTACGATGCCTCAGCACCTAAAATAATCTCTCCAGCATCACCGTTCTTTCATCTGAAATGAAATACAAGAAGAAAACAATTCAGAACATTAGTGTACCACTTTTGAAGAATTAGAAACCTCTATATCTAGACTTCACTTGTTAATGGCACATGCACCACAATAATCAATATTTAAAAACAGCACTTACTTCATTTTTTAAGAATCTGGTAGAGTTTAAGGAAGAGCCTGGTTGCCATCTTGGGCTAGAATCCAGCAAGGTTTACTTTAGAAAGCAACAGCAGCATTCTTTGCTCAGTGTAATTGGCAAAAAGGACATTAAGCCAGTACATCCATGTGGATGCTAACATATTTCCAGGAGCAATGGTAGTGGTATACTATCCCTGTATTTCTAATATTTTAACTAGAGGCTTGTTTGTTTTTAAATTTACCATGAAAATGCAGTGGATTAGGGAAGGGATCTAGCCTCTTGATCTGTCCTTTGTCACCCTGATGGGATTCTGATCTGTAGAAATGCTCTGTATTGGCGTGATTCTAGACTTTAAGAATTGGGTTATCTTATTTTGCATTTTGTTTACCTAAATGCTGCAGTTCCCTGAAAATGAAATAAAAAATTTTGGCCTTTCTCACTGAAAAAGAAAAAAGAAGAAGAAATTGCTGAAAAACCTGGAACCAATAAACCTCAATTTCCAATCTATGAAATGGAGATAACTACTTTCTTCACTGAGTTGCTGTGGAGGTTTAATGAAATCATATAAAATACTTAACAAGAAGTCAAATACTTAGTAGTTATTCCAGAAAAGTTACAATTAATAATTATATTCACATTGTTTTTCAACTAATACATTAATTTGCATATGAAATTTCAAGGTTAATAAGATGGAATAATAGTAAAGATACTACATACCAGAATATTGTGTTGCAGCTTAAAATCATTTTATCTTCCATTATTCCATTTATGGTTCACAGTCACCTTGAGGTCCCATATTTCCATATTTCAGAAGAGAAAACCAAGGTTAATCTCTCTAGGGAATTCACAAAGGAAGAGGAAGAGGAAGTAAGAATATGTTCTTATACTTCTTTTACACATCTATTGTGCCAAAGACACTCTTGAACATACCTGGAAACTGGTTTTAACTATTTTTAATGAATATACCTTTGAACTATATTTTTATAACTTTGATCTTGACCAAATGTTCTTTAAATAGCAGTGCCCTATTCAAAGAAATCACTTTCATTTTCCTTTTTTGTCTCTTTCTTTAAAAACTAAATGTTAAAGGTGTAAGTGCAGGAGGATGTCAGATACGCAAAGGTGTGGGTGTGCAGGTGCCTCTGGAGTAACCTGTGTCACAGTCTTTTGGGTATATCACCAAGAGTGGTATTGCTGGATCAAATGGTAGATCAATGGTTAGCTTTTTAAGTAGCCTCCAAATTTTTTTCCAGAGTGGTTGTACTAGTTTACATTCCCACCAACAGTGTAAGAGGGTTCCTTTTCCCCTGCATACTCGCCAACACCTGTTGTTGGTGGTGTTGCTGATCATGGCTATTCTAACAGGGGTGAGGTGGAATCTTAGTGTGGTTTTAATTTGCATTTTCATTAAAGGAAAAATTTTCAATCACTTTGTTACTAATCTGTGTGTTATGTTTAATCTGAAAAGCCTACCATGTATCTTTCTTCCTGCTCTCACACATCAATCTGCTCAGATGTCATTTAATTGTAACATTCAGGAGCATGTAACACAACACGCCCATGGATGATCCCAACCAGCCCAGTTTGGAAACAGCTGACTCCTACACCACTAAAACTACTGAGTGGGCAAATTTGGTGTTTGAGGCTATTCAGTTTGGGTGGAAGTATTCATTCCTCTATGCTTTATCATAAATGTTGCTCATTTCCCTTCTTCTTGCCTGATATCTATAATAAAACTAATGAATACTTACAGAGAAAGGGGTAGTGGAAGACATGCGGTGAAGTTTGTTAACTCTTCCAACAGCATTATGGGCTTTTTTCCCCAAAGGGATTAGTTCGTTTTCCTTTTGAGATAGGGTCTTTCTATGTAATCCAGGTTGGTCTCAAACTCAGCCTCCCACATGCTAGAATTGCAGGTAAGAGCCACCATGCCTGGTTTAAGCATTATGTTTTAATGTGCAATACACTTAGACCAACATTGCTTAAAGCAAGGGCATCTTTGGCTGTGGGATATTAATCATTTGAAGTCAGTAAAATATGTCTTTGGGGGAGAGAGGCTTTCCAGCTTCTCAGAATCATGCAAAATTGCATTAACTTCCTATGCCAACTTTTTTCTGTCTTCTTCATAGACTAGCTTGTTTTAATAGAGGAATTAAAATGCATGACACACAATCAGAGTCATGCCTTCTTCTTTTGACCCAAGTACTGGTTTAATATCTCAAGCTTGTGTTACTTTCCTTGTCCTCCCATCTATCACAACCCCAACTTCATAACTGGGGCTCAACAGACACCCAGTGGTCAAATCTTACAAAACTTGAATTGATTTGAGTGTCAGAAATAAGCATCACTCTTTCCCTTTAGAGTAAATTAAATTATATTGTCACCTATGAGGGTATACACTCACATTGTGAAACAGTACCAAGTAAATATTCAGTGACCAGAATTATGTCACAATTTAGGATTGTGAATCAGAATCACACCCTATGGGTCTCAACTCAACTTGGACGCTAATCAGGTTACCCATGGCAGGTTATTTAATATGTCTGGCTCGGTTTTGTTACATGTGAATAGAGATAATAAAATGCCTGACAAGTATGGGTTTGCTACAGGAATGGAATGAGACAATTTCAGTTTAATGCTTAAAACAGTAGATAGCTAAAAGTTCAAATGTAACTGCTCATGTCTGTTCTCACTGAGATATCTGGGTGATAGGTGTAAATATCAGGTGACTGACTATAAAGCTAAATTCAAATTATAAATGAAAGTGCCATGAATCAGCTGGACAACTCCCAGACTCTTTGAAACTATGAACTATGAAAAGAAGAAAAAGAGAGGGATCATTTATAAAGAGATTTCTTTGGAAAAAGCCAATGGCTGTAGCTGTTCTAAGTACTTAAAATTCTTCTTAGGATGGGTGGTTGTGTTGTATGGTCCAGTTATCATTTTAAATTTTAAGTGAGAATATTACTTCAATGGGACTTCTTCAGGCCTGGGTCTGAAGAACATTGGGGAAGAGGATCTGACTGCCGTTTCCTTAGCCAGGAAGACTAAATAAGCAAAGATCCAGGGAGTGCCTGGGTAACAGAGCAGGAGGTTGCTGTTGGGTTAGGAGCAGCTTGCAGAGTCAATATTTGTTAAGGGCAAAGGATGCATAATGATGAGTCTTCGGGAGAGTGAAAGTGAGCTGGTACTAGTACTGTCAGCTCTAAGTTGCCAGAGAAGGGTGGACAGTTCTAGTCACTGAAGATGGACGGGTCTCGCTTTTATCATGATAAAAGAGAGAGCACACAAGGGAGGGGTGAGGATAGGTAAGACACCTAAAAAATTAGCTAGCATTTGCTGCCCTTAACTCAGAGAAACTAAAGCAGATACCTTAAAAGCAACTGAGGCCAACAGGAAAAGGGGACCAGGAACTAGAGAAAAGGTTAGATCAAAAGGAATTAACCGAGAAGGTAACACCCACGCACAGGAAATCAATGTGAGTCAATGCCCTGTATAGCTATCCTTATCTCAACCAGCAAAAACCTTGTTCCTTCCTATTATGGCTTATACTCTCTCTACAACAAAATTAGAAATAAGGGCAAAATAGTTTCTGCTGGGTATTGGGGGGGGAGAGGGAGGGGGTGGAGTGGGTGGTAAGGGAGGGGGTGGGGGCAGGGGGGAAAAATGACCCAAGCCTTGTATGCACATATGAATAATAAAAGAAAAAAAAAGACGGAGGGGAGTGTCATTGTGTTATAAGAAGCACACCCAACCACCTAACATAGACTAGCAATCAATTGTACAAGAGGGAAGGTCCACTAGCCTCTGCAGTGAGACTGGGGAAGAATCAAGAAAGTGTTCCAACCTGTTGAAACTACTCCAGGAATGGGTGTGGGGGATAAAGGAGAATGATGGAGGGGTGAATTCAAGTATGATATATGTGATATACTGTAAGAACTTTTGTAAATGCCGCAATGTACCCCCACCCAGAACAACAATAAAAAATTTAAAAAGAAAGTGTTCCAGAGAGAAACGGCCACCTTTGTCAGTATCTGCCAGGTACGAGAGATATTCAAGGAAGACCTTTCCTATTCTCTTGTCAGAATTGTTCTGACAAGAACAATTGTTCTGACCTCAAAGGATCAGACTGGCTTATAAATTGGTTGGTTGTATTAGTGCTCTCCAGGGAAACAAACTAACAGTGTGTGTGTGTGTGTGTGTGTGTGTGTGTGTGTGTGTGTGTGTAAATATATGTGTGTAAAGACAGAGATTTATTTTAAGAAATTGACTCATATGATGAGGCTGACATTCTAAAATCTTCAGGTGGATTGCCAAGCTGAGACTCAGTGAAGAGGCTACACTGAGTCCAAAGACAGTCTTCCTTTTGGCTTAGATCCATCTTTATTCTCTTAAGGGCTTCAACTGATCGGATGAGGCTGACCAAATTATGGAGGACAATATAATATAATATAAATATATATAATATAAATCTAGTGATTTAAGTGAAAATCACATCTAAACAATACTTTCAGAGAATTATCTAAAATCATACTGGCCAAATAATTGGATTGTATGACCTCTCCAAGTTAACAAATAAATTGAACCATCACAGATAGGGTGCAGGAAAGAGTATATAGGCCAAGAGATGAAAGAGTAAAGCCAAACACTGCTTTTTCACTTTGGGTATACAGTCTTGGGAAAGCAAAGCAAGGAATTAAGTGTTATATTACATGATGAGTTTGATTTATTATGTGCTGGATATTCTAGTTTTTTACAAGAAAGTATATGCATAATGGAAAGTGAATGTAGGCCACCAGGAAAAACATGATCCAGCATGATTAGGGTAAGATACCAACATTTTTATAAAGAGTAATGCAATACCAAAAAGAGCAAAACAGAACAAGTGTTTTGATTGTTCCCTAAAATCACACAAATCATACCAGTTGCAAGCACATAATAAATATTTGCTACTATTGCTACATTTCCATATAATAATTTATTATAAGTATTAATAAAACATATTTTTTATAATATGCATCTCATTGAAGTACTTAATAGAGGGGAAAAACAATTATTTAAATGTATTTATTTATTTTATAAATCAATAGTTAAATGTCAAAGGTTGTCTGTGCTTTGCTTCAGTGTTTCATATAAATATGTCCCCGAACTTTATTCTGTGATGGGGTATCTAAACTTTAAAATTTAGACATAGTCATAAGAGTTGGTCACCAGTAGTTCTCTCCTGTAATCCTGAGTCTTACTTTCCTGAGCAATAAAGGGAACAACTTGGCTGCATCCTTTGGCAGCATGCTGCCTGTTGAACAATTTGTGGTTAAGGTTTAAACAAGATTCATGCTGGAAAATCAAGCAGTTTCAGTCACCCTATTCTCATTCCATCAGACCACTTTGAAAATAAGACACTGCCAAGTTTTTGAAAGTGGGATAGAAAGAATGTAAGTCTCACCATTGACTGTTCAGTGCTATATAAATCAAAAGGCTTGCCAACCAGGAGACAGAATGAACGCCAGAGTCCACACAGATGCGGGCAATTGCTCTGGTAAATGTTGAGTCTTGGAAATTGAAGTTGCGACACCATGCTCATATTAAGCAGCAGGAAAGAGATGATCCTCAGACTTTCTGTTGATTTAAGTGGCTGATACCTTTTGACAACTTGAAGCTTTTTGTTAAAGCTCTGGAAAGCACTTTGTAATAAAAAAAAAGTAGCATTTTTTCATCAGTTCTCTAAATAATAAATCATGATCAATAGATATTTCTTGAATACTTATTAAAGAGCTGTGATAAATATTAATAAATCCTGGCAACATTATTATAAAGAAGAACTACCACA